AAAACCCATTATAAACGAGGCATTTGTTGCATCCAGTGGGGACATAATTACAGATTATAATGACTTATACTGTCTTTTTACGCATTGCATCGCGCCGCGTAAACATAAAACCATGTCTGCATTTGTGATCAGAGAAACGACAAAACAAGCACTACTCTACACTGCTCAAAACTCGCTTTTCTCGAATTCGTCAGTGGCAAATTCTTTAAATATGAAGACTTGCAGTCTGTGAGTCAGAACAGCCGGCATTGTAGTCTACTCTCCCAGCATCAAGAAACAGTCCTCCATAAAACGAAGCAGATATCGTCCTCTTTTGGAAGGCCAAACAAAGTAGTTTCGCTTTCACAACGAAGCACACAACGTCTTCAGGACATGGTGGCAGCGGCAACAATACTACAGCGAGAATAAAAGTTACGCCTTCTTTCTTTGCGTGAACATTTGGGCGGCGTTATGCAAATCTTCCCACATCGTGACGTAGACATGTGGGGGTGTGTTAGAACGAGCCATTTTAGGAAGGTGTGGCTGACTCTGAACTTTTATAAAGAGTATCTCTTTGGATTTGAGACTTTAGTCTTTGCAACTTTACAGATCTTCTTTATGCACCAAGAGCTTGTAACACTCCAAAGAGAAAGGAAAACATGAAATCGCATCATATGACCCCTTTAAAGATCAGATGTTTGTACATGAACATGAAGCGATCTTTAACAGACATCTTACAGACCTATGTGTGGGAATCTGGGTATGTACATCTTCATGTATATTTGGCAAGAATTAAAGGTGAGTACGATTATTTATTCTTTATTGAGACAAACCTGAAATTTAGATTTTTGAAATTCACTTGGGAAAATCATTGTGCTTTTTGTATTTATTAATGACACGTACTACTGTACTTATGTCTGCGTATAATAAATAATAATAATATTTCAACGATATTATTAGCATTATGGTAAGGGGTAGGTTTAGGGTTGGGGTAGGTGTAGACGTTAATAAAACACAATCTAATAGGTAGAAAATTCAATTCATTGTTAGCTTCCGGTTTTCGCTGTATCCCTTCTAGCCACAACCCAATTTCTGCCAGTTTTGGGTTTGTTGGCGTGTTGGGCGGAGCGCGCATGCGCAGACAGCTCACTCTCACACACTCACTGCAGGAGCACGGAGACCTCAGGACACTGGATGAATAGAGGGAGAATAACCGTAAATGTCCAGATGGGAATATGTGGGTAGAGCATGGCGACGTCCTAAAGAAGACAAAGACTTTTTAGATAGCGACACCTCCACTGCCTCTTATAACGCGGGACGTAGAGGATCATTGAGGAGAAAACAGCCGAATTCATATAATAATAGTAATATGGGGTACCAGAATGGATGAAACTCTCTGGGCAGAACCCCACTTTTATTACCGGATCGGCCCGAAATAGATGTGAAAATAAGCCCAACCGAGTGTTTGAACAGCGACCTGACACATGTATGTTACAAAATCTGATCT